TTTTTTTTTTTTTACTCACCATTATAGTGATTAGCGTTCCCTTTGGTTGGGCACTTGGAACTTCATTTATGTTACTATAATTTTCTTCCTGTTAATGCAGCAATGCATCATGAAGTCAGAGTTATTTGATTTCAAGGGAAGATAAGTAATAAATAGGTTGCTTTTAGAAGGTGACCTATCTTCTAATTAAAGCATTACTGTATTTGTGTGTGTTTATTAATAAACTTTTTCAAATTTCATTTTTCATAAATACCTTGGAGTAAACTATACTAAGCAATCGGTTTGCATGCTTTTTTTAAGTAAGCCCAACTAATTAGATTTTACAGTGTAGTTGTCCAATAACCGACTAGTGTTTTAGGTAGGTTGCCTGTTGTTGTTGTTGTTTTTTGTTGTTTTTTGAGTATATCTATTGGAATATGGTGGGTTTGTGTTGGAAATGTAAAATATTATTCAAATTTTATCATGTTTGACAGTGATATAAATAAAAGCAAAGCAGTTCCACGGTTCTAGAATGGAACTCTGTTTCAAAAATGTTCCTTCAAATCACAGAAAAGCAGCTGTTCTGGCAAAAGGCTCTACTGTATCTTTATACCACTGCCACATCATGTCGATCATGTACTGTATGTGGCCCATTGTGCACACAAATCAATAATCAATATTTGAGCTTTGCATGTTTAATAATCAGGGATTTAGATCTTTAATCTTTAATGTGCAAGTTATAAAATCATAACTTGGCTCTATTTCTCATGTCTTCTGAAATACCTTTTTATAATGATAATTATCACTTCTATAACTCTGCTTGGCTGCCCTATTCCAGACAATTAGCAGTCATAAATAAGCACATTTTATTTGAAATCATTTGCTTTTGAAGGCTTTGATTAAGTGGCCAAAGAGAAAGATCTGTTTTCTTCCAGTGTTCACAAACAGGAGAGCTTTGAGCCAGCAGCCCCTCGCTCACGCTGAGCTTTGATGAAAGTCCCGTCAAAGCCAAGTAAAGATTTCACCTCTGAGAGACAGGAGGAATAGCTTGAAACGGATGGACACGCTTCCAGACACAGCACACCCTAATGTTCATTAACTGAAAGAGTGAGAGACACGCAGAGACGCTGACCGGTCCTGCAGGAGCGAGACTCCGTCTCACTGCTCTGAAAGAGGGAGAGAGACATGACAGAGAGACTCATGAACTGTCTGTGGAGTTTATGAGAATGTGTCAAGAGAGAGACACTAAAACATCCAACAACCATCACATTGACAGGGAGTGCCAGGCCTTGGCTGAGTCTAGTGAGGTCCAAAGGTCTGAAACCACATAGAAAATCTAGAATTTAAACCTCAAAATAAACAGAATTTGATCAATATATTATTTTATTTTATCTGCTCTGTGTGAGTATGACTTTGTTTTGTGCAAGCTGGCTGTTACAGTGACACTAATTAACAAGCCCTGTTATTGAGATCACAGACATTTCTACATCTTAATTGCATCTTAATGACATTTCAGATCAGATGCTGTAGCTGGAGCCAGATAGCATGACAGAGAGAGTAAAGAGAGAGAGAGAGAGACGGTTGATTTGATTTCGATGGGAGAAGAGCAGAGCTACAGTAACAAGCATACCAGGCCATATGTGACATTGACTCTTCTATCCAGCGGTCAACATTTCGAGGGGCGTGTGAAGCGCTAATCACGACTAAAACCCCTCATCTTGCTCGCTCTGAGCCTCAGCACGAACTTGATCCACACTCCTGCTCCATAATTAAAGCACCATTCCCAGGTAGCGAGCACTATCTCTCTCTCACATAAGCTCCGGTAATCTGACGCTCAGAGTTTATTTTAATGTGTTTCCGTTTTTCATCCGCAAGCCCTTCTAGTTGGTGTTAATCGGATATACTGAGCAAATAAGGAAACCTGACAATGAGGTTTTGCAGGTGTTTTGTCACCGCAGGCTGGGGTAGTCATCGTTACAGGCGACAGATTTGCAGCCACTTCATATTTGTATCCTGCTTATGGATCTTGTGTGTAAGGCCTTGAATTTGAATTGAGATAGCAAACAGGATTCCAAATTGTAATTAAAATTTTAATTCAAGTAGACTAATATGAATTGAAATTTAAAAATATAACTGCAGTAAGTGTCATTTTTAACAAGAAACATAAACCTTGACTATTGGCTTGACTGTCTTAAAGTTAAAAAAATTGAAGCAAGGAAAGATGAATGGATAGATTTAGAATTTCTATCCGTCAATGCCAAGTTCTTGATTTTAATTCCCACTCATAAAATGAATATTTAAATTAAATATTGCATTAAATCCCTAAAATCATCTGATCAAGTAAATTGTCTGCCACATGCATTAATGTAAATGTTTTAAATGGCTAGAAATTGGTATTTAATTGATGTAGATTATATATATATATATATGTGTGTGTGTGTGTGTGCGTGTGCGTCTGTGTGTGTATACTTATAATACTTTCCTTCCAGCTTTATTTACTCTATAATTTGAAAATGTTTCTAATGTCACAAATAAATCTGCCAATGTAAATGTAGCCTTTTTTTTTTTTTTTTTTTTACTTTTTAAACTTTTTTTACCATTTTTTTTTATTTGTTCCTACAATGAGTCACTAATGTGTAAACTATCACTTTAAATTGTGAATTTCATGGAACTTGGGGGATTTGTCATAATATAACGTCCTCTCAACTTCCACATCAATGTCTGCTCATCTATGTTTGATGCTTAACATGAGGAGTGGGATTTTGGTACAGCGAGTTTTCAGTGTGGGCGGTGCTTCTCTGTGCAGTGCTACAGTTTGATGTTTTGGTATGTGATGCAATGACATTCATACATTTTTAAGTGTGACTTGAGAGTTCCCATATACTTTTGGGGCCACTGTACATGTATTGTTTTGAACTGTCTTATTTGTGTGTGTCTTATTGTTTTGGGCCGGTGATGATGCCACCCACTCGTGTATATGCCTGCGCAAATGTGTAGCAGATGGGCAGAAAGAGAGGGACCTTGATGAGAGAAAGGATGAGCGTATCAAATCTACCACGGCAAATATTTACTTACCAGATGAGCTCTACTCATTCATCTCTCTCTGCTTTACAAGCAACGGCTGCCTGCCTGCGTCCTTCACATGAGAATAACTGTGTGTGGGGAGAGAGGATGTGTTTGAGGGCACTGGGTTACAGAAGTAAGCCATGCATGAGACACAAACGCTGGGAGTGTGTTATGAAGAGGACGATGTGTGTCTATGTGTGTGTGAGACACAGAAAGCCAATGTGAATTTCAAGAAAACATGTCCAGATCTCAGTTCATCCCAAAAAGCCAATTAAAAATATTTTGCATAGAACTTACAATTTTTTACATTTTTTTTATTGAACTAATTGTATGTTAATTAATCAAATTGTGTGTGTGTGTGTGTGTGTATAAAACCAAAGAAAATGTGTCTGTGTTCTATTAATAATACCTGTCCTAAATGTCTGCTTCCAGACAGCCAGCTTCCCATACAACAGCCTCTACTCTCATTTTCCTCCTTCCTTCTCCTCGCATATTCATTCTTTCTCGTTTTTTCTCACTCATAATTTATGTGCTCCTGTCTCATGTTTATCCTGCATTTAAATTTCACACAGAGGAGAGGCGGCAGCAGTGCGCCAGTCAATAGATGTGCTAACACTTAACGACCCCTGCCGAAGCAAGCAAAAACAGATCGTTGGTCCTTCAAACAGCTCCTCAGAGATCCACCCCACTGTAATGCTTGTCGTTGTCCTACAAAGTGAAGAAAGGAAGCCAAGGACAATTTGTAGCAGCATCTCTGAAGAGTGTGCTGTACTGGAGATGGTGGCTCAGTAATGTCTTCCCTTGCGTAGTAAAAAGTAATTTTGCAGACTTAAATTCTTACATTCAGAGTCTACTGCTTTTCCACACCTGCTAATGACAAGTGAATTAATAAATATTTATTAAATATCTCTTACTGGCCATGATATGTTTTTTAAGAATGGAAGTCATTATGAGAATTTTGGGTCACTGGCTCTATTGGGTTAGCACCGTATCTCATAATTTTTGGATCATGTATGTGCTTTTCATTTTTATGCTGATTTAAACATTTTCTATGACACTTGGTTGTGAATTTTGATTAAACTTGTCTGCTAGGCAAAAATGTTTAGCTTGCTGACGTAGTCCCAAGCTTTGTCAAAATTGCAAAAAAGGCAGAATCAGTAAGAATGAGATTAAAATTACAAAGTAATCATTAAAAATCTGTTTTACTGTATGCCATGATTTTACAGCAAACATGTTTATTGGTTTTCAAGTGAGAATTTTTTTATGTAATTTACATTTTTAAATTATTAATGTATTACTTAGTTTAATAAGTTATCAAACAATTTGTGCGAAAATGTATAATATATTTTTAATGTTAAAAATATTAAATAATACATGTAAAAACTATACATTTAAAAAGTATGCATTTAAAATGATAAATGTAGTTTTGTTTTGTTTCCAGTAAAAATGTTGGCAGAGGAAGTATAGATCGTTATTACCACTGGTTTGAACCTACAGTTTAAGTTTTCGATAACCGGCTCAACTATTTTTTCGTAGGACAGTGTGCATCCATAGCTATAAACCTTAACGTGGAACTTGAAAGTTTACCATCAGTGAACATTTATGTTAATCATTGTCCAGTGCTCTGTCGCCTCTGAAGGTTATTCTGGATGTTTTTCCAGACTGCACAGAGTGCATCAGTTTACGACTAGAGGGAGCCCACTTAACTGGAGACATGGATGTCTGAGTGACATTTCCGCTTGAGAGTGATTGATCTGCCAACTGTGTGGACTCGTCTTTTTATTTACAGCCTGATTGATCTGAATTGCAATTGGGTGGTGATCAAGGTCATTGATTGGTTGATTGTGTTGTTTGTCAGATTCACAGAGGCGGACACACTAGTGATGGGAGATGTGACATATGGGGCCTGCTGCGTGGACGACTTCACTGCCCGCGCTTTAGGAGCCGACTTCATGGTGCATTATGGGCACAGTTGTCTCAGTGAGTTGCATACACACAAAATTCTTATGTGAATTAAAGGGACAGTTTACCCAAATTGAACATTCTGATATCATTTGTTCACCCTCATGTCATTCCAAACCTGTATGACTTACTTTCTTATATGGAATGCAAACATTTTGATACTTTGTTTGGTGCATTTTTTTTATTTTTGGAGCTTGACAGTCCCCTGGTCACCATTAACTTTCATTGTCTGAAACAACTCTAATATATACTAATATGTATTAGTTAAAAAACTAAACTTTAAATAAATGGGGGGAAAACATTAAACTTGGAGTGGTTGCCTTGACACTAACTGAAAGTTTAAGTGCAAAAGTTACTCACACTAAACCTGAAATAAATATTAATTAAAGCTATACATTAACAAAACAACTAATGACAAAAGCACACAACAAAATTACTAAAACTTAAAATGAAAACTGAAAATATAAAAATAAAAGCTAATTCAAAATATGAATAAATACTAAATAAATAATACTAAAATAACACTGGTATGGAAAAGGGTTGTGTGAAATTCTCCTTTTGTGTTCCACAGAAGAAAGTAAGTCAAACAGGTTTGGATTCTTCAGAGCTGGGTATTATAACTTTCCGTTAACATATTTATAGACTGCACACCCACAAATTAATTTTCATAAAGGAAGACGTCTCATCTATCATCTTTCTATGTTCCTGCGGTTTCTCGTCAGCATGTTTCAGGGTCTTTCATTGACAGGCAACTGCATGTTTGAAAAAATAATTGAGAAAGAGACCAAGAAATCTCTGTGGGAATTTCTAATAGCAAAGGCTGGAGACAGTCGGCCGTGGTAAGGATAAGTAGAGATATATAGATTTACTCTTGGAGTGCTTTGCAAAGCTGCTCTCAATAGCTCAGTATGGTAGCCAGTCGGAGCCGTGATGTGTAAGGGATAGCAGATGTTTTGAATGACCCTGCCTGCACGTGTGCTCAGCAGATCAATAGTGAACATGCATTAAGGGTGTCCTTTAAAAGGCCTGGACGTGCCAGCCTAGAGGAAGCCGCTCTTTTACCCCCCGCTGCCTGTCAGCAGCACAACATACAGTAGAGGAAATGCTAAATCAATAGGGCCAATATATCTCCAGCAGAACAATCACACCTCTCCCAAATACCAGAGCTGGCCAAGGGGAATATTAATCCTGCATCTGAGGTCCGAAGCCTCCTGCGAACCTTAACAAGAACATTTATACGCAGACAAACATAGATCTTCTGGAAATGTGCGTTTGTCAGTACAAGCTACAGTATGTATAGAAATTATAATAGTGTAACTGCTTTAATTGCTGTACATACTGTATGTAAATGTATATATACCCAGAAGTGAAATACACCTGACAAAATCTCCCAAAACCTCCTTTTGGGGAAGTCCTAATGTGTAGGACATATACATATAATTATTTTCTTTGGTTAGGAATTCCTTGACATATCACTTCTTTTTGCTCTGCTTGTTTGTTTGGTTTTTTTATGTTTCTTTTCCACAATATCCTTGAGACCAACAATTTTCAAGTCTTAAAGGTTAACTTTAGCGACAGTTCTGAAAGCAAGTGCAAAAAGCTTTTATTTTTTTGTATGGTGACTTTTTTTGGCAAGCGAAAAAACAGCTGATGAAGCAGCAAAAAGGTGAGTGTTCATTTTGTCCCTCAGAAAATGTTGTCAATGATAATACCTACAGATTGATTCATTGACATCTATAGATTTTAATGGATGTAACTAAATATGACACACACACACACACAAAAGAACCAAAGACTTAAACTACTTCAGTCTGTGTGCATTGAATCATTGAACAAACACACACACACTTTGACGGCCAATCTGTCCCGCCGTTTCATAATGAACCAAAAAAAAACTGTATCTGAGCAATGTAATTTTTCCAGATTTTATAAAGCTCCTCAATCATATCTGCTTATATTTTGCCTCCTTAAGAAAACAATAGAGAATGGAAGGAGACGAGGGTATGGAGAATCCATGACTCTTATTGACAACAGCTGTAATTGCAGTGAGTAAGTGCTCTCAGTCTGCCGTGCTAATTGGATAAGAGAAATGGATCGATTCCACTTCAACCCCCCGGCCCCTCCAAGTCTTTTTCTTTTGTTTTCTAGCACCTGCGGAAAGAGGGTATTGCCTCTTGTGTGTTTCATGCATGTATGAAAATAGCCCTGCATGTATGTGCATTCTGACAGTGACCCACTTGAATGCAAAACTTTGCAAGAATAAAACTTTATTGCCAGTCAGTAAAATCTCTCTCCCAGAAGTCTCTCTTTCTCTCTTTGTAATGTATATCACTTCCCCTAACCGTAAATGTTGTCCATGACATCTATTCAGTAGCTCTGTTCTAAAACCTTGTTAGCTGACTCGCTGCTTATTGCCTATAGGCAGCTGCCTTCTAAGGGATCATCCTAACTGCTATGGAAACTTATAACTGATTGATTTGGAACTCAAAGAGGCAGCTTGACATGCAATTTAATAGAGCTGTGATGTTAGCATGTCGCTAAGCTAACAGCACAGTACTCTAAAAGCATAATAATACATGACACACAAACATTTTGCGTAAAATAATGTTTTTATTTACACTGAGCTATCTTTAGCAATATTTTTCAGCACTGAATGAAATGTTTATAATCAACATTTCTCTCACTTTGTCCATCTTTTCCTGAGATTTTCAAAACCGTGTTCAAAAATGATAGACCGTTTTGGTTACCATTGACTTCCATTGTATGGACGGAAAAAAAAAACTTCTTATATGTTCCACTGAAGGAAAAAAAAGCATACAGGTTTGGAACTACATGAGACTGAGTCAATTTTGGTTGAACTATCCCTTTAAAATATGCAGTGCTCTCCAAAATATGTACTTTGTCATAGACGTCTAGGCAATGTGTGCTTGCTGAGAAGCCTTTGTTGATCTTCCTGCTTTGAGAGGTAAATTTACTTCCTCTCTTCCTACTTGCCTCACTGTCTTGTCGTCTGTTCTTACATAGTTAAATGGGCTCCATGTTTAAAACACTCCCTAAAGGTGGCATTTGCCTAATAGCAGTGAAATGGCCATTAGAGCATGGGCTTTAAAGAGAATGCTACAAGAAGAGCAGCAATTATGACCATCAGCTGTAAATGATAATGTAGATAGGAGAAGACTGAAGCCCGCCTTCCTCTTTCAGCTCTGCTGTCTTTTAAATGGGATGTGAATTGAATGGCATTAATAGCAATTGTATGATTTTCTCTTTTCTTGAGTTACTGTCATCAGTAGATCAGAGGTAGGCTGACTAACACAAACTTTTCTGAGTTTTCAAGACATTTATTTACTTTGTTGTGAGTTTGCAGTTTATGACAATGAACTTATGACAATACCAGCATAGTGGATGTAGTATGTGTGGGTTGTACTCATACTACATACATGCATACTTGTGCAGTAGAACAAAGGTTGAGAAGTTTTTCATTAAATGCAGTACTCTCACAGTGTGCGATTTCAGATGGATCTGAAAAGGAATGGTTCATACTAAAATGAGAAATCCAGGATCATTACTCTCTCAATATCATTCCAAACCTGACTTCTTTATTCTGTGGAGCACAGTTGTTTGAAAAAAAAACTGGAGGGGGACCCCATTGACTTTCATTATGGACAAAACAGTTGAAACATTCTTCAAAATATTTTTCTGTTGTGTTTCTAAGAATAAAGTCATACAGGTTTGGAACAACATGAGGGTGAGTAAATTATGACAGAATTTTTGGGTGAAAGAGGTTGTTGTGCCTGTTTGCTCTACCAGGTGAAAATCGTAATTCTGTTGGTGCGTTCAAGTAATGTCAGAAAGAGAATATTTAATGTGTTGAACAAAAACTCAAAGTATGCAGTGGAGCAGCATCTGTATTACCCATAAATTTGTTTAAAGCATTGATTTTTTTATTAAATTTTTTAATTTAGCAAATTTGCATGTTCAAAATTGTGCAACTACGAAAGTACATACAATGATTCGGTTTACAAAACCTTAACATTAAAAAAGCAAAAAACATACCTGATGCACATTATTTACCAATCATTTTGTAGAAGTGGAGTTAAAAACTCTTGCTGTTTTTCTTTTTCTTTTTTTTTCTTTTTTGTAGAAAAGATACATGCCATCTTATTTGGACCAAAGTGATTTAAATTCATCTGGTGTTCTAATTACGACTTCCCAAATTGTAAATGCAAACTTCACAGAAGGACTTGATTGCACCATGTGATTTGTGGGATCATTTGTGTCTGTAGCACAAACAATGTTGAATTCCAAATTTATATTTTTCCGTTTAGAGAAAAAATAGGAAGTCAACCTACGGATAAAAGAATCATTTGAATGTGTGTTGAGTGAAATATGCTAATGTTGTTTGTGTCTCCAGTCCCCATAGACTCAACTGAGGGCATCAAGATGCTGTACGTGTTTGTGGACATCCAGATTGACACTGCCCACTTCCTGGACACACTCAGGTTCAACTTTCCCCCTGGCCACTCACTCGCCCTTGTCAGCACCATCCAGTTTGTGGCTGCTTTACAGGTGACCTTTGACCAACCGCTTCTTACTCAATGATAACTATTCCCTGCGGTTAAAGATGTTCTCTGATTCGCTTACTGTCTCTCTCTCTCTCTCTCTCTATCACTTACCTTCCTGCTTCAAGGTCTCTGACAGCACATAAGGCTGCCCGTGTGTGTGTGTGTGTGTTTGCTCCTATAATAGTGTGTGTTTGTGTATGTGGGTGTGAAATGCAGTTAAAGTTATTTTGAAGTGCACAAGAGGAGGAATTATCAGAAGTCATGTTGCACTCAGCACTCCAGCTTACATAAGTGTGAGATTTTCTTCCCTTCCTTTTTTTTCCCTGTTTCGCTCTCTCCTCCTCGCTGTCGATTTCACCCTCCTGCCTAAAAATGACCTATGTTATTTCTGGAAATAGCACGGCCTGTGTATCATGTGTGTGTGTAGGCCCATTCCCGTGCTCTGGGTGGGTGCTGGGGGTCAGAGGGGTGTGAATGCACACGTTTTATGTGTTTTTGTTATTTTCTCTGCTCGTCAAAATCTTAACCGTAATGTCTCCGCCGCCGTTGCATTACTGCAGCTTTCTTGCCTTAATTTATTTGGCACCATTTCTTTGCTTCCTTTTCGTTGGAAAGGAAAGCCTGTAGGTGTTGGGAGATGTGCTGGATGACTGTTTCTCTGATTGTATCTGTCTCTCTTTCCTTCCACTGAAAAGATGTCGTTGCACGTTCCAGACCCAGTGCTCAGCCAGAGCTGCAAGCTACTCTCAGAACCTGACTATATTACTACACAAACAAAAAGCCTTTGTTTACAAGTCTGAGTTTAAGAACATATTTTAACACTAAGAGTAGTTTGATTCAGCAGTATTATGGCACCAGGAGCGTTTAGGAGTTTATTTAGGTGTATAGTGAATAAAATTCCTAACAATCAGTTCACATACTGTTTAAGCTAGCGTTCAAAAGTTCACAGTGTTCAAGAATTTTTTTGTTTGTTTTTTAAGAAAAATAAATTATAATTATCAACAAGTATGCATTCAGTTGTGACAGTGAAGTGACTGACAGTGAAGTCATTTGTTACAAATTTAAAAAAAAAATTTTTTGTTTTTGAACTTTCTATTCAAAGAATCCTTAAAAATATATATCACAGTTTCCATAAAAGTATGAAGCAGCACAACTGTTTTCAACATTGATAATAATTAGAAATGTTTCTTGAGCAGCAAATCAGCATATTAGAATCATTTCTGAAGGATCATGTGACACTGAAAACTAGAGAAATGGCTGCTGAAAATTCAGCTTTGTTATCACTGGAATAAATTACTTTTTTAAATATATTAAAATAGAAAACAGTTATTTTAAATTGTAATAATATTTCTTAATATTGCTGTTTTTACTGTGTTTTTGATCAAATAAACGCAGCCTTGGTGAGCATAAGAGACTTCTCTCAGAGACATTAAAAATCTCACTGATCCCAAAATTTTGAAAAAAAAAGTGAATGCTGAGTTCCTGAGTTTTAGACTAAATTTGGACAGTTTGTTCATCAGCGAAAATTGTTCCAAAAGAAGCTAAAGTTAAGACTGTCCTTTCATTAAAATTTTATTCGGTGCGAACATTATCCTGCTCTCAGACCTCTGACATTACTGTTTCTTGGTTCAGTACCCGCAGGGGGTTAGCGTGGAGCCAGATTTTCCAGCCCAGAACCACCTTTTCAAGAAAGGTGAAAACATGTGGCGTGGTTCCAGATTAGGCACTGGCTTCTGCGCAACAACTTTTTGGTGGGAAAGTTGCTTCTTTGATCTCAGCGTCCCTTTCCTTTCTCTTCACAGGCAGCCAGTGCAGAGCTGAAGCCAGATTACGAGGTGTTGGTACCTCAGTGTCGGCCACTTTCTCCTGGGGAGATCCTCGGATGCACCTCACCTCGTCTGGAGAAGCAAGTCAATGCCATCATGTAAGGAAAACAGTTCTAGCCCATGTTGAGTATGTGTAGTAAGAATATGTTAGAGTGAAAATAAGTCTGTGTGTGTGTTTTAGATTTATTTATTTATTTGTTCATTTATTCATTTATTTGAAATTGATGGTTTCAGCCCTGGATTCTGATTGGCCAGTACAGCATTCCAGCCGTACAAAATAACAATATAGTAAGAGCAGTATAACACAAAAATGTTTATATTTTATTTTATTTCATTTTATTATTTTATTTTACACTGTTAATGTATATGGCCTTTTATATATGCAATCAAAACTGACCAGGTTTACTTTCTTAATATGCATCACTGGTTTCGTTGTGCACAAATTCAATAGTGCATGTTGTTCTAAAGAAAAGAAAAAAAACTTTTACTTGGGCTATCATACAAATAATTGTCACTTCCTTTTAAACAACTTTTCTGCTGATGTGACCAAGGCCTCATGGGTAGGAAAAATAATACTAACCAAAATTATTATATGCTACTTTTCACAATCCAATCAGCATCAAGACCCGCCTCACATTTTTACCTGCAGAATATTGTTTCTCTCTGAAATGTCACATTGCATAAGTTAAATGCGTTGCGAATGCAGTTTCAAGCTGACTTTAATGAGAAGCGTGTCAAGTGCTGTTGCAACACAGAGACGAGACATTAGGCAGCAGGTATATGTTTGTGTGTGTGATCTATTATTCTCTGTATCACACAGCAGCTGTGAGCAGCAAGCTCTGCTCCTGTGAGATAGACGGAAACCTCTTGTCTGTGTGTGTCTGTACACAGAGAGGGTGTGTGTGTGTGTGTGTTTGAGTTCTCTGCCTCTTAATCCAGCGTACAGAGTCTGTGATGAATTTGTACAGTATAAAAACCATTACGCCTATGGGATGTCCCCACTTTTCACAAAAACAAACCTGTGTGTGTGTGTGTTAGAGGAGAGAGGAAGGAAGAGAATTGATGCGTGTTTATCTTAATTTTCACCCATCACCTCTTCGTCAGGGCACCTGTCAACATTAGACATACACAAGTGGTCATGTCACTGACCCCCAAAATGCTATTATGCAAATAGCCTTTATCATAGATCATTTACTTTTTGCCCTCACCCTCAGCGATCAAATTAAAAACTTTCTCTGACAACCTACAGTGTAGTAATGTGATGTTATATTGCAAAGCCGAATTGCCACCGTATAATTAACAGCTAATTAAGCTTATGCAGAGCCTGACTTTCTCATAAGAAGTAATATGTTGGCTGGGGGTCTGAATAAAGTCCCACGGAGAAGATGATTGCAGCTTTGTGCTGAAAAATTACACGGGTTCATGGCTGATCGGCACCTTCATAAAATCTCTTTTGAGTTGGGCGGACCGTAAAGTGCTCTGTATTTAATCAAATTTGACGAACGCCACAGGTCTTCACACAGACCTCCAGTTTTCACTTGGGATTTCTTCTGAAACAAGAGGGAGCTCTGTCTCATTGCCAAAGGCATAATGAACTGAACTGAGGGTGAATGGGTCGGTGCTTTGAAAAGCGGTTTTAAGAACTGCAAATTGGGCCATTTCTAATCTTGTATTCTCAATAGTGCCATCTCTACCAAATGCATCAATTTGTGGCCGTTATACTGTTAAAAGCTGAGCCGGGAAACCTCTGAGAGTTTAATGCCTCTGCTTTAAATGCAATATTTGTAATAGAGGGCCTTGAAAGAGACAGTGCGGTAATCCGGGAAAATTGGTGTTTTATTACGGCAACATATAAAGGAAAATGAAAAATGTGTGGAGGGGGATTTTTTTGGTGAATGACTTTGTCAACAGCTAAAAAAAATGCTGCCTTTGCAGGTAGTACACTATAAGGAGGTTGAAGGCGACATTGATATGTAATTTACTGTGGTATCCCATAATAATGTGATTGGTGGAAAGATATAAAATGGCATCTGATAGAACGCTGGAAGTTTAATTTTGTCTTTGGAACCCTGATTATTTTTTACTGTATATAAGAGAATTTTAAGAGTGTGATTTCCTGACCTAGAAAAGAGATGGAATTTTCTTTCATGATTATGATTTTTTTTCTATTTATGTCAAGCTCTAATACGTTTATTGTACAGAAATTAGTATTTGTTAAAAAAAATATCAGGTTGAAACAGATCAGATGATATTTAGTTTGATTTTAATGCTGATAACCAATAATAGACTGATATTAAAATCCTGTTTTGTATGTTAACAATCTGTTTAACAAAAATTGAATCAGTCGTTTTAAATGCTGCAGGTAAATTTAGGAATCTTACACAATGAAAAACTAATTTAACTTTGAGTGTTAGATGACGGCAAAGATGAACTAAATGTTACAACTGAAAATTTGCATGAAGGATTAAATTAAACTGATAATATTTTAACATTGGCTGATAACTGATATGGTACTAATATATTGTGCATCCATACTTTCTGTTTCCTTAGCAGGTACAGGGCAGCAAACACAGCCGGTATGTTTGAGAGACAAGGAGAATGAAGAGCATTTTTCTGTCACTGTGTGTGTGCGAGAGTGAAGGATGGCTGGTTTAGCCTTTGCTCCGTTGGGCCCAGGGAGATCCCACCCACATTATGTTCCGTAGCGTTTCATAAACGTGTCTTAATTAGCCTTTCTAATTGTGGCTGCGTTCCCCAGGGCATCCATCAGGATTGCCAGGTTAATCTATACTCCCATTAACTATGGCAGGTCTTCTCCTGTCGGCACGGCAGAGGATAATCAGCGTGTTGAATTCTGTTTGCGTGCTGTCCGCGTCATGACCTAATCATATCATGCAGGTTTATTTGTGGAGTAGCTGGATTGTAGCCCATCAGCCTCCGTGTCTGACTCGCTTTCCGGATGGTTAATGTTGCCTTGACTGTAGAGTGAGTAGGTCTTGCCCTGATTGCTTGCTGAATGTTAGAACGGTTCTGATCCGGTTTATGAGTCCTCTAGGCCAAGACCCATTGTCCTTTATATTTTCTTACACAAATCCCAGAGTTAGCAGAATTGTATTCATTCTGCCCACTCAGACTATCTTGCTCTCTGATAAAGTTGTGTTTCTTTCTGTAGATATCTTGGGGATGGAAGGTTTCATTTGGAATCCATCATGATTGCCAACCCAGATATACCTGCCTACAGGTAAATCAATGTGCAGTTGTATACTTTTTGCTAAATCATGCATTTTTATTGCTATAGTTCATAGTCCTCAACCTTTTTATGACTCTCTGGTCTACAAATCCAGCAAACATGCAATATCCAAAAGCAGTTGACCAGATTTAGCCAGTTTGGTAATATCCTACTTGGTTGCAGAGGACAGCTCCTTCCTCTTGGCCCCGTTTTAAAAACTAAAACCCATTAAATAACATAAAATAATATATCTAACACCTGCCGCATTGATCGATTGAATTATAGACTGAGAATAATGAGTGCAAGCTTTGTATGAAAAAAAAGTGTTTTTTTACACCTTTTTTTTAGTTATGCACTTTAAGCACAGCTACGCAATATGCTTACAAAATCTCTAATAAAAGTTTGAATAAAGGGTGTAGATGTAAATTTTCTTAGACCAGGCATCCATTTTTGGCCACTTTTATCATATCAACTATCTAGCAACATCCTACTGTTATATTTTCTTCAAAAATCTAGTTTATGAATGTTCTTCTTTCTGTTTTGTTAGTATAATATTGTTTGTAAATGTGTTGTCCTCCATGTCTGCAGGTATGACCCATACAGTAAAGTGTTTTCTCAAGAGTATTATGACCATGAGACAATGCGAGCCACCAGATTGCAGGCCATAGAGAGAGCCCGCTCAGCCCAGAGATGGGGCCTCATCCTAGGCACCCTTGGCCGTCAGGGCAACCCCAAAATCTTGGAGGTCAGACCATCTGCTACCCTTTATCATGCAATATGTTTTCTGTTAGTGTAAAAGTGTCTATCTTCCTTGCTCATTTCTGTCTTGCACCTGAGCTGAAAGACACACACACCGTGCGGCATTTGGCCGGGAGGAGAGATCACCAGGGGCGTTAATCGATTGTTTTGAGAGGGGCAGGTCGTCTCCCTTCTTCTTCTACTTCTTCTCATTCAAATCCTCCTCTCTTTGTTCTCTGCCCCTTTTCATCTGTTCATTTGTATGTATATGGATTGGACTTTGTTTTGGCAGATTTTTCCCCTTTTCTCGTCTCATCCTTTTTTAATTGGTATGCATAGAGAAGACGAGTGAGATGAATTCAGCACCTAGACAAACAGACTGTGGATGGTGATTCTGGGCGAGATCTCTGTAGCTCTTGTCAAAAAACATTTTTTCTTGGTAATAATAATAAATGACCATTAATAACTAATTAAATGAATGTATTATTATTTTTTATTTATTAAACTTATACAACATATTTACATATACACGTCCATCAAATTTTACAATAGATTTTACACTTTTTTTTCCAAGTTTCCAAGTAAAAGAGTATTAAATCAAATATTTATTCAAGAAAACGTCTCTGGGTCTATGTAACACATTCCTGCATGTTCTATATTTGTCATTATAAGACTTACTGGCTTAACAGTGAAGAGCAATTGTAACCTTTTCAAGGTTAGCTATAAGCCAGCTAATTTAATACACTTTGATTGAAGGAGAAGAGTAGATTCTAGTACCACCCCCCCACTTCCCTTCCTTTTTTTTTATGGCTGTGCTTTGAAGCTGCCTGTTCACCTGAACACCTCCTCACTGATGTCTGGAGGTTTTTGCTGGTAATATTTGTGGTCCACTGGGTTTCACACTTCAAAGTGTGTGGGGAGAGTCTGGGAAAGCATCACTTTATCCTGAAGTGAGCAAAATTGTGTTCATATTCACTTTCCTCCAGCCTATCACTGAGGGAATGAATAATTAGCATTGATGGTTAATGAACAAATGAAAGGTGCATTAGAATGTGTTTATTTACACACACTTGCACTTGTTTCATGATGTAGTAGGGACCTCCTATGACTTCTGTTGTTCTTAAATTAAAGTTGAAGTGTGGCATTTCTGTGTCTCTAGCATCACTGGTAGTGAGGTAAGTTTTAACAACAGCACTCTTCGTACTTGACAGTAATTTTCACAATTTAGCAGTAAGTTGTAGATTTCCTATGAAGGTAAAATAATACCACAGGAGATCTGTAAAAGTGTAAATTATCACTACAAAATGATGTGATATCTATTCTTCGGACTTCCTTTTTTCACGCTTACACTTGACACTTTTTTTTCTCTTAAATATGGCCAAAAATTCTGGCCGATATTGATGAGCCAATTATTATTTTCTTGTTATGGGTGGTAACCAGTTAAAGGGCTTATACAAATTTGTACTGTTTTGTTTTTTAAAAATTACAAATATTTTAAATAAGCCTAAATAAATCTACAATTAAATAGTTCTAAATGCTACAAGTGAATTTATTCATCACAACATTATGATGTACAGTATGAGAAAAGGATATTCATTTTAAAATCTGCTAAAGATTACGTTTAACAGGGTTAATTATCAGTGCGTTAAACAATGGCAAAGATAATCTAATGTAAATGTATAAATAGAGGAAATGAGCATGAGCGATAAAATATACAATCCAATGTTATGTGATGCAGATAAATTAAAAAGATACCTAATACTGGTATAACCACCAAAATATTGGGCATCCCTATTTCTGATTAATTTCAATGGTGTTCACTGGGGTTCAGGTCTTTGTGCAGACCAGTTAAGTTCTTCCTCCTCAGGCTCATTAGATTGGTTCTTTGGGGAAACTAATAAATCAAGGCAACAACAAAGCCCTACGTCATTAATGAAAAAAATCGAGCTAAACTGGCCATTTATGTTAGAAACCCAGAGCTGATGGTGGTTACTAAAGCTTTGAAGAACATAAATGGTTTACACAAGCCGTTTACACGGGTTCAGCATCAGCGATCCTGTGAAGATTTCTCATTAGGCGAAAGGAAGCGGTTTTCTTGTTGTTCAGTAAATTTGGAAGATTCTTGGATGTAATGATTTTCTGTTCTCTTTCCTCCTACACTGTCAGATCTGTTTGATGTGGGCTGTTCTTGGTGACCTTGAGCCCTGTGCATGAAATTTTGTTGTCTTTATGTAAATATGAGTAACATTCAGTATTCAACTCCTCTCTTTTTTTCCTCTCTCTCTCTCTTTCTTTAGCACTTAGAGTCTCGGCTGGAGTCTTTGGGCCGTTCATTCACGCGTGTGCTCCTGTCTGAGATCTTCCCCGGCAAGCTGGAGCTCCTGGCAGACGTAGATGCGTGAGTCTCTCCTCCATCTACATGCACAATCACACTCTCCATTTCACACAAAGAAACATCAACTCCTGTGCATCCTATGAAGAAGCTCCTCCATAAGGTGCACATTAATCTGAGTCTCAGCACACCCTGAGGACAAGGCGAGGTTCGACAGAAATATTACTGACGGTGATGAATATGTCAGACGGGGTCACAGGTTTTGTTAGTGAGCAGCTCCTCTGTGGTATGTGTCTTATTGCTGTGGTGGGCTTTGAGATTATTGAAGCTTAGTGGAGCAAAGGAGTTTTGTATGGGCGTTCTGTTTCAGTGTATGTACAAAAAGCAGTAGGTAATTTTTGTTGATGTTTCACAGGCCAGTGCGATTGAGGTTTCCCATGGTCATGGAAAGCCTGCAAATATCAGGGGATTTTAAAATGCTCATTTTGAGGCTTGGAAAAGTAATGGAAATATTAAATGTAAATATAATTTTTATATTTACAATATGTATTAACATTTTAGTTATATGATAGGGTTTTAATATTGTATGTTTAACCATAAATATAATAAAAAAATATTTAATATTATATAAAATATTTTTTGTGTAACACAAAAGAAGATATTTTTTTTAAAAAGTGTTTTTGTTCATATAATAAAAGTCAATGGGGTCCACTGACTTTCATTGTTATACAAAAAAGACATTTTTCAGAATATATTCTTTTGTGTTACACAGAATAAAGAAAATTTAATTAATTTAATTGAATTATTTAAAATAATATTTATAAAACTTAAATTGCATTAAAATATATATATATTTTATATATTAAAAGAAGCTCTGTGTGAAAAAAGGCTTGATACTATAAAGTTTCCAAAACGTATTAATATTATTATTATTTGTTTTTGTTGTTTTTTTTGTCATTGTACTAATGCTAAATTGGCTGGTGCACTGAAAAATATTTTAATAACAGTATTATAAAAATTTTATTTCACTCAAAAATGGCTAGTAAATTTCAGAAGTTGACAAGTAACATGAAATTTTGTAGTAGAAAGACTGAAATAGTATTTTCTTGTAAAACGTACTTCAGTAATCTTTAATTTACATCTTCATTCTTCGTCTACATCAGTCATTTTGCAAACCCCTGTTTCAGACCACTGATATGGCTTTTTTCTTTTTTTTCTTTTTGTGAACTTTTAACTGTCCAGTTTTCTATTTGAGCTCTGTTGAACAGGGAACATGGCCGTACTGACTCTTATTTTGAGGGAGCCCTGCATTGTACACACTCCCCCACTGCCTGCCCTCTGCATCTGGAGACAGGAGAGGGGCACAACGGCCCCCCTAAAATGAAGGAGTGGGTGAACGAGGGACAGAAAGGTCTGAGAGAAAATGAGGAGGAGGTGGAGGAAGGCGTGGAGGCTGTTAAAAAAGGGAACGAGAGTGAACAACTCAAAGAGAGCGCGAGAGAGAGAAGATCAACCGCCCCCATCAGTCGTGCCGCTCTCCCGCCACGTGAGTGACACCGCATATGTAATCGAAGCATAACCATGACCAGAGGAAAGTTACACCTCTATCTCTCCTCCTCTCATTTCCTCCATTAATGTCAGTCGCTTGTGCTGTGACTGCTGCGGATTGGTGTCATCTTGGCAGAAACATGAGGATCTGAGCAGAGGAAGACATTTCAGAGTGTAATGTGAGCGTTGATTAATGCTGCAATGATGATGTATATGACATCCTGGAGAAGATAAGGAACGAAGCTGCAATCTGCCAGCAGTCGTCACTATAATGAGAAGGTTAATCGAAATGTCCAGCGTTGAATTACCAGCCCAGACAGGAGTGGACCCGAGTATGATGCCTGGTAGGGCTGCACAACTAATTGACAAATTAATTAATCACACACATGTACGTTGTGTGCAATGGCAAAACGTAAAAATCTATAGTAACGACAGTCGTTCCTAATGAGCGAGGTTTACGCTTCTGTTTGAAAATGAGAGCTAGAGAGTCAAAATCTTTAGAAACAAGGCGATAATCATCATCGATAGTTTGTTATTGTTTTAGATTCACTTTATTCTGTCTGCTTGCTTGTAGCAAAATGCTCCCATTATTGTCAACAAAGCATTGACTATGTTGATTATAATGAGATGAGAGCATCAAAATAGGACATAAAATAAGCATTTTAATGTTAATTCTGTTCATTGGAATTAATAATTACAGATACAATATCAAGGGAAATAATTGGCAGTTATGATTGTTGTCAGGTTGTGCAGCCGTAATACTTCAATTGGATGTTTTCTAGCGTGGAGGAGGCCTGGAAATGTGGAGGCTAAACCAGCAGACCGCAGCACTTGAAAATACTATTCAACTTTAATACTGTAAGGTGTTTGTGGATCCTCTGGCTGGTGTGAAATGTTTGATGTCTGCTAGGAGGGTCATTCTTGTTATGCAGTGCCTTTTGAACTATGTAACTTTTGAAAAATGAATATGCCTTTCTTGTAATATATGGAGGTGGGTAGACCAGACATTCAGAAATGCAGTATGCTCTTGGAAAGTTGATTCAATTAAAATGTATTAATTAACTATTTGCACAATGGCAAGAAATTTAACAGGATGCTTGGCAGGATGGTAATAAAGAAAAATAATAAAATAAAATAAAGAGATATAAAATGGAGATAAAGACATTACTTGGTGTCATTTTAATCATCTTATGAAATTTTGAAAGTATATGATTTTAGTACTGTAATTTTACAATGAATCGACTGATTGTGATATTGTGGTAAAAGAAAACTATAAAAGGAACTAATATTGTTTAAAAAAACAAACAGAAATTTGATATGTTTGACGTTGATTTGTTAAATTAGTTACAAAACATACACTTCCATTCAAAAGTTTGGGGTTGGTTAAGATTTTCTGAAAATGCTCACAAAGACTGCATTTATTTGATCAAAAGTATAGTAATAACAGGAATATTGTGCAATATTATTACAAATAATTTAAAATATTTTTTTCTATTTGAATATATTTTAAAATGTAATTTATTCCTGTAATGCAAAGCTGAATTTTCAGCTGCCATTACTCCAGTCTTCTGGTGTTACATGATCCTTTAGAAATCAGTCTAATATGCTGATTTTGTTTTTGTGGAAGCCATGATTTAAATAGATTCAAAAGAACAACATTTATTTGAAATACAAATCTTTTGTAACATAAATATTTTTGCTGGCATTTTTTGTCCTCAATTTATTGCATCCCTGTTGAATAAAAGTAGTCTCTTTCAAAAACAAATTAATAAAATACTGACTCCAAACTTTTGAATGGTGGTCTACTTGTAGGGGGCATGAAAATGTACTGCATAACAGGATTGACTGAGGAGCCTCTGGCTCTTGGCTCTGAACTATTCCACTCGACCCTCTCAATTCAAAGCAGCATCTTGCATTGAGCATTTTGTTTGAAAGCAGGCAACCTGGGCAAACAGAGATATACGTCCAGGGCTGTCACTCCAGACAGCGCTTATACTGTACACTCTCTGTGAGCATGCATTTCAGATATACTCTGAAACTGTGAGAGCTTGTGCGAGGCAGCCCACACTGAAGAATAATGTTTCCACACATGCACAGATGTGAGACCACATCAAAATTACATATTACATATCACATTATGTAACCAAACCTATAAATGGTCAATCTAAATATTTCTAAACTTTGTTTTAGCTTGCGGTTAGTGAGCTAACCAGGTAGCTTAGCATACCGCTAACAGTATGCATGTTAGCAAAATGCTAATAAAAATTGCTATATACAAAATAATGTTGCAGTGTGACAGGATTTTGTTCAGATTTTACAAACAGCAACATTTTAGGGTCAAATGGAGTAGTATTTTGCAAACCACACCAGAACGGTTTAGCTTTTACACTTTCTTGTGCTAATTGATGCTTGCTATTAGCATTTGAGGATTTCCCGGCCTATATATAATTATATATA